GGGTAGGGGAGTTGTGAGGTGGGTAGGGGGGCTGTATAGTGGGTAGGGGGGCTGTATAGTGGGTAGGGGGGCTGTGATATGGGTAAGGGGGCAGTATAGTGGATAGGGAGGCTGTAAAAAAGTAAATACCTTTCAGTGTCCTCTTGGTCCGGTGGGCAGCTTCCCAGTAACGTGCGTGGGGGCGGAGCTTGTCGGGTGGGAGGCGGAGCTTCCGTTTGGGGGCGGGGCATGCGGCCGGAATAATTTCAGACTGTGCAGGGAGACTGACAGGTCTCCCTGCGGCCGCTGGCAGCCACACCAGCCCCCAGCTACTCTCTCCTCCCTCCCCTCGGACTGACAGGCTGGCACAGTCCGAGGGGAGGATTTATTCTAATAATCATGAGGGCTGTCAGCCCGGCCCCAGCTTAATGCGGCCCACCGGGAAATTTCCCGGTATCCCAGTGGGCCAGTCCAGCCCTGTCGGTGACCTAATGAGCACGCACAGCAAGAGCTGCAAGGGCATTACGATAGCCACATAAGAAAGCATTGTATAATGTATAACAAAAAATAATCTCTGGATATCCCCAGAATCATCTGCATATCAATTTGAGCATTTGAAATGTTGCGTGGTAGGTTTTCCATTCATAGCGTAAAATCTTACCGTAGTGTAATTTGCATAATGAAGCATCTTAATACTCATTTCCCAATAGGATGCCATGCCAATAGCTTTATTAAAAATGTTTGTGCTATTGTAAGATGGAATGGTGAAAAGCCATTGCAGGATACCTCTTTTAACCTTGTCCCATTTAGCTGTAGACATAAGCATAGGGGATCATGCAGATGTAGTATAGGTTGAGTGGATGTGGAGGAGATGAGATGATCATGGAAGTTATTCCAATCAAAGTCAGTAAAATACTGTAAAGCTTAGGAAACATAGGATGGAAGTTGGAGGTGGGCATACCATTGGAGTGGAAAGCCCAGAAGCCCAAATCCTGTTAGGAATAAAATGACTTTGTAGGCTCATTGACAAAGTGAGGTAAAGTTTTATGAACCCCTGTAGCCCACAGTGAAAAAGGATGATTAGCCTTTCCTTCTTGAAACATTAGTTTGCTCATTGAAAGAAGATGCAAAGACTTTAATGTATATTAATACTAAGAGTGTGGCTCAAATAAGCAAAAAGGTAAAATAATGTAAAAATCTAGTTATTCAAATTTACCTGGTAGCAAAGAACAAATGTAAAATAAAACAGATTAAGGGTGCACAAAGTTTTTAATAAATATACAAAAGAAGACAAAACAGTAATTTATATAAAAAAATATTTATAATAAATATTTATATTTAATATAAGGATAAAAAGTAATCATTTTGTTGGTTGTGCTCTAGGCATGTGCATGGGAAAAATATTCGGTTCGGTTTGGCATTCCGAAATTCGGGACTTCGGAACTTTGGGACTTTTGCACTTCGGTTCAGCACTTAGGCACTTCGGAATTTCGGAACTTAGGCATTTCGGAATTCCGGGAGTTCGGCACTTCTCTTGCAGCTGCTTAGTAGATAACTCCATAATTCCCACGGTATTAAGGAGTATCTACCAAAAGGCTGAAATTTGACTCATAACTCTGGTTACGTTCAATCCACCAATAAGAGTGTTGTTATGAGTCAAATTACACAGCATGGGAAAATTCCAAAGAACTTTCCCATGCTGTGTAAAATGACACAGAGCACTCTGATTGGCTGGATTTCAAGCTTACCAATCTGAGTGCTGTGACAGGTAAGAGACTTACTTGTCAGTCTCTTCTTTTAGCTGTCAGAGCACTCTGATTTGATGGCTTAAACCAACCAACCTACCACTCAAGGTTGGGGGCCAGGGGGAGGACAATATCCAAACATGTTATAACACATAAAAGAGAGAGCAAGGAACACAACGTTCCAAGTCCCTGTATAGCCGCCGCACCCACCACCTCAAAACCTCCCCAAAAGGGGGGCAGTGGCTGCAGGGGTCACGCAGAGACAAACGTACCAGTATGAGACTCCAGCTATCTCAGAGGGGCTTAACCCCAAATATAAACACAAGAACAAAGAAATATGCAGACCGTCTCAATTATATGAATGAAACTTACTGCATTGACTGGAAAAAATATATCTATGTATAGTGCGATGTTCCAAATATAGAACCTGGCTATTAGAAATAATATGGTCAGAGACCCTAATTAAACAAAGTATATACAAGTGAACCTACAACAGGGCGTTTTTTCTGCACTGGGCACTGGTGTTTGGAGCACCATGATCACCATTTAATTTAACTTTATTTTATATCGTTTTCTTCTTTTCTTTCCTATGCCTATCTAGCTAGCTTTACAGGGAGAGAGGCTTTATTAATGCTAATTATCAGTCTGTTTTTGACTGATTTTTTTACTTCTATTTTCAGTCCTTATCTCTCTCTGTTTTTATTAATATGTTTCTAGTGTGACCAGGATACTTCCTAGGATGCATGGATTATAGAGACTTAGCTACTGTATACTCCTATCCCTATAGCAGATCACAATAAAGCTTAATTATAAGGGGGAGTGAGGTTATCTTTTTTACTACCTCTTGATCTATACTACCCTGGGCTGGCATAGGATTGTAGGTTCACTTATATATACTTTGTTTAATTAGGGTCTCTGACCATATTATTTCTAATAGCCAGGTTCTATATTTGGAACATCGCACTATACATAGATATATTTTTTCCAGTCAATGCAGTAAGTTTCATTCATATAATTGAGATGGTCTGCATATTTCTTTGTTCTGATGTTATAACACATCAAGAATTATTCCAAATTAGGGCCCCCAACCACTGCTCAGGGGTGGGGACCAGGGGGGAGGACAATAGGTCCCCCACTATTCTAATTTAGGGCCCCCATCGACCACTTAGAGGTGGAGGCCAGGAGGGAGGACAATAGGTCTCCCTCCTTATTCTAATTTAGGGCCCCCACCCGCCGCTCAGGGGAATTAGGAAGTTATCTACTTATTCATTCCTGTCATTCCATTGACTGGCTAAGTAACTTACATTTTATATGAATGTGTGTTACTTGATTGTTGTAAGTGTTGCAAATGCTTACAGCTGAATCCTGGCTATGTTTGTATACTTTTTATTTAAACTTGTATACAGTGTAACATTCTTCATTCTTCCACTGGGTAGGTATATTAGTACTTCGGCAATACTGTGTTTCGGAACTTCTGCAACTTCGGCACTTCGGAACTTCGACACTTCGGAAATTTGTCAATTTCGGAACTTCAGCAATTCAGAACTTCGGCAATTCGCCAATTCGGACATTCGGAAGTCTCCAAATGTCCGAATTGCCTGAAATTCATCCGAATTTCCCGAAAGTCATCCGAATTTACATTCTGAACTAAACGAATTGCACATGTCTATTGTGCTCCTAGTTTAAGTTGTGAAAGCTTCCATGCCTTTATTGTAGTCATTAGGAATGGGATTGCTAGTATGTTGGATGGAAATAAATTATAGTATAACAAAGCCTTTAATGCTACGTATTGAGCCAGCACAGGCAACGATGTCTATTTTAAAAAGACCGCTACAACATATCCCACTTCATCTGTTGGTTGCATTTGTTTAAAGGTTTCTATGCCAAGACTGATTAGGTATATAACAAGGGTGTGAATAAAGTAAAATATACTTTATTAGAACTTCAGATAATAGAAATATAGAATGTAATGGCAGATAAGAACCATACGACCCATCTAGTCTGCCCAATTTTCTAAATACTTTCATTAGTCCCTGGCCTTATCTTATATCAAGGATAGCCTTATGCCTATCCCATGCATGCTTAAACTACTTTACTGTGTTAACCTACCACTTCAGCTGGGAAGCTATTCCATGCATTCACTACCCTCTCAGTAAAGTAATACTTCCTGATATTATTTTTAAACCTTTGCCACTATGTTGTGGTAGTTTTTCTTCTTTAAATATAATCTCCTCTTTTACTGTGTTGATTCCCTTTATGTATTTGCATGTTTCTATCATATCCCCCCATGTCGTCTTTCCTTCAAGGTATACATGTTAAGATCCTTTAACCTTTCCTGGTAAATTTTATCCTGTAATCTATGAACCAGTTTAGTAGCCATTCTCTAAATTCTCTCCAAAGTATCAATATCAATGACGTACAGTTTACTTTGTTGCTTAAGAACTGACTTTTTTCCTTTATATCACACATCACAACTAAATTCTAAAATCAAGAAACAGTTTTCACACTTCTATTAAGATTATATTTTAACAGAAAATGTCATTGCTATATATATCCCATATTCCTCTGATTTTTGCAGGCGAGGAAGATGTTCACTAGTCTTTCCTTCAGTCTTTCCCTGATGCATTCCTTATAGAAAAAAAGAGATGCTTAACACTAAGCACAACTAGTCATTTTCACTTTTAGTATTGCAGATCTCCGCTAACTGATCTACCACCAATCCTAAGCCAATTTTTCAGACTAAAGAGGAATTGCTCCAAACCAAAAAAAGAGTATGATGAACAGACATCAACCTTAAAAAAATATTTTTTTTAGAAAAAAACAAAAGATACAATTATAAGTAAAGCTAAATCTTACGATAGAGAGAGCCTTTTAACATATAATATATTACATTCAATTTTAATAATAAAAACAGAGAAATATAAAAATTATCAAAAACCATTGCCATATTTTGTAACACAATGAAGTTCTAAATAAGATTATCCCTGCCAACCCAAATATAATATTCAGAGGTGCTCCAAATTTGAAATCCCTTCTTACAAATACAAAATTTACTAGAATAAACAAATAACACCTTCTACCATATTTAACGTACAAGTTTTTTGTTTTTTTTAAATGTAGAAAATGTATTGTCTGTAAAATAACACAGTGGTCAGTTTAAATCAAGACCACCCATTTTACATCTAGAACTACAAATAAAATGTACAAAATAAAAGACTGTATTACATGCAATACAAAAAATGTAGTCTACCTATTGGAGTGCGCTTGTGGCCGTCAATATGTTAGCATGACATGTAGGAGTCTTAAAACAAGAGTATCAGAGCATTGTCGTAACATTATAAAAGGATATCAAAATCATACAATATCCAAACATGTTATAACACATCAAAAAAAAAATCAGTCTGCTTAAAATTTGCCGGTAAACAAAAGTGCACAATTCCATGGCGAGGAGAGGAGGAGATATTACAGTCTTTTATGGAGAACGGAGATGGAATGGGGTTTTAATTTAAAAACATTAGTACCAGATGGTCTTAATGCAGACTTTGACCTTTTTAACCTTTTATAATTATTTCTTAATTATAATTGTCACATTAAATGTATAAAC